ACATGCAGCCAGCACCCTCAAGCCACGCATGTCCAGCTGTCTGGCCAGCAGGTTCCCGAAGCCCGAGCCACAGCCCGTGATGAACACATACTTGTCTTGGAGGTTGCTCACCACCTGCCTCTCAAGGTACCAGACCACAAGGTGGTACAGGCCCACGAGGGCTGCCAGGTAGAGCCACATGGGGAGGCTGCGTTCTTTTCCTTCAACAGAAACACAACAGCTGTCATTTTATCCCTTCCTTTCTCTCAAGGTGACTCTGCTTCCTGACACTTAGTCTTACAGTGAAGGAGCCAGTGCCTAGAGAGGGACTCAGGGAGGTAACTAAACATGCAGTACAGTGAGACAGGGGCCAGAGCAGAAGTACAGACACAGTCTAATGGGCTGCAGAGGACAATGAGCTGTAGCCTGGCAACACTCAAAAACCTCCAAAGGAGCAGTGATTTGGGTACTACTTCCTGCAGGTTGGTAAGAATCCAGAAAGGATGCAGGGATGAAGAGGCACTCCAGGCAGTAACAATGTATAATTGGATGGAATTGTGAGCAGCAAAATCTTCCTCATTCCAGTCAGTAGTTCAGTGTGGATACAGTGCCCAAAATTCAGAGGAAGAGATGAGAGATGAGGTCATAAAGAGCCAGATGATGAAGGAATTCAAAGGCCACAGTGAGGGAACTGGGTGATGCACAGCAACAGTAAGGGTGTGCTTTTAGACTCTATTCTAGAACATTTCTCTTTAGAGAGATACAACTCCATGAGGCAGTGGGAAAGAGATTGAATAGTGCTCTGATGAAAGAAAGGAGATTAGTTGAATTAGGAGACTAAATTTTCAGATAAAATACTGTACCCAAAGTGATAAATACAGACCAAAGGAAATGATGATTCAAGTAAGTGTTCACAGATGGCTAAATTTCAACGTGGAAATATGCACTGTTCTTTCAGTCTTTATTTATAACTGAATTAATACAGTCGTGGAAACATAAGTAGAGGTCAAAGGTAAGTGAGAGCCCACTAAGATGTTATAAGGCCAGTAAGAGGAGAGGGGATGCAATTGAAATTACTGAGGGTGGAGAGACATCCTCTAGCTGCTGGCCCCTGACTTCCTCCACAGCCTTTTCTCTAGCACGCTTTCTCTTGCAACCTGTTCTTTAATGATGAATAGCAACTTTTTTGTCTGTATGTCACTCGTGTCCAGAGACTTTGCATGAGACTCAAATGCAAGGCAACAGACTAATTAATCTTGCCCAAGAAATTTGAAGGCTGTCTAATGTTGACACAGTGGCATGACTACAGTTGGGAGCCTTTAGCCAGATTTATGTTGAGGATCAAGAGCATGTCACCCAACAGAATGATTCAAAACATTGTGACTTTGACCAGAAAGGCTAAACTTCAATAAACCTGCAACCAGCATAGATGTAACAGAGAAGACATTAGTCACTGAAAAGACTAGCAAGAAAGAACTAAGTACTACAGATGAAGACAAGAGAAAAGATGGCCTAAAGGCAACACAAGAATCAGCAGAACTCTATCTTTTAAAACCTCAGAATTGCAAACGTGAAAGATTTTGCTCTGAGAAGACAGTCCCAGGGTGCCATGTTCCAGAATGGTCATGACCTAGGAAAGTTGTTCCTCAGGATTTGGTTCATACTCACTCAGCCCCTCCATCCAAGAGAGAAGGAAGATTGCCTACTCTCCACTTCATGGGCAGACTTTGGCCTCACCCAAGCAGTGCTGGTTTTAGGTACATTCAAAATGCAATTGTGGGCTTTGGAAGACTTCCTCCCAGAAATCAGAAGAAGGCCTGGGAGGCCAGGTAGTGTGCACCTTTGAAAGCAGTGTGTGAGGATGTACGTGGAAAGCCAAAGGTGCAGTGGAGATCCCATAAATTTGAAAAAGTCAATCATGGATGGACTGAGAGAAACTGCATGGCAGGAGCAGAGCTAGCCCAAGGGAGAAGCCATGGAAGCTACACCTGACAGTCCCGTGGGCATAGGTTCACTCAAGCCCTTTAGAGTTTACATCTGGCCACAGGTTGCCTCAGATACTGATACTGCACAGGGAACAGGAGTTAATGTTTTCCATGCTGGATATTGGACTTGGTTTGTTCATGCCTTTGCATCCACCTATTTGTACCTTTTGGAATGGCAAGCTTTATCTTTGCTTTTGATATTAGAGAAGTTCAACTTTATTTTTATTTGTGCAGAGGATCACAGCTAAAAGTTTGCCTTAAATCTCAGATGAGACTTTGGACTTGGATTTTTGAGAAATCGAAACAGTGTTAGAATTTTGGTAACTCTTAGAGATGGATTGAATGCCTTTTGTATAAAAGGATATGCATTAGTCTTTGTGAGGGCAGAGGCAAATTGTTATGGCTTGTGTTCAGAAATCCCTCCAAAGTTTTATCCCATTATTTTTCACAGGTACCTGGATTTAGAATGGCTGGTACTGGAAATGATTCATGGTGCAATGCTAGGATCAGGAGCACTAGGATTAAAGGTGTGAGTGTCACTCTGTAAGTTTCCTGCACAAGATAGGGGGCAGAAAGACCTGTGATCATGCCTTGGGGGCTCTCCCCTGCTTGTTCCCCACAGACTATTTCTGCTCTGTGATACTCCTCTGCCATGACACTGCACATAACAGTCATCTGCTCTCAACCTCTAGGAACAATGAGCTACATAATCCTTTCCTCCTCTAAGTTTGGGCATTGGATATCTATCAAGAAAAGGACCTAAGACAATTATATAGATTTTTTACTATCTATGAGAGAAAACCCTACACAATATGCACATTATTCATCAGTAATTAGTTGGATACACTAATTTAAAGTCCACTTTCAAATAAATACATTAAATTTAACATAACCATTATAACAATTTAAAAACTAGAATATTCTGTGACATGTTTTAATCAGTTCTCTAATAATCATTTGCTTTCAATTTAAGAAACATTTCTTTGAGATTAAATAAGTTGTAATTACTTGGAATTAAATAAAAATATTTCAAATCCTGATAATTTTTATGTGGTTTATGATGATAATACATGAAAATGATGGTATTTAAACAGAAATAGGATTGTGTCCCACCACCAGTTTCATCCTTCGTATGCCTCTATATCAAAAAACATTATCAAATCTAGTCTTCCTCACCATTTTGAAAACAAACATAACAAAACAAAACTAGAATAAAAAAGCTTTGCAAATAACTTTCTTTTTCCACAATAATCTTTAATCTCTGCAATGTATCAATTTTTTTTTCAGAACTAGGGATTGAACTCAGGCTGTTGCACTTGCCAGGGAAGTGCTTATTCCACTGAGTCATCTCCCTGGCCCATGAGCCATTTCCCTGACCCCGATGTATTAATTATTGTAACTATCCTACTAACTGGATTTGAGACTGTCTCTTTGCTATTTCTTCTCAATAAAACTAATTTTAAAAATAATCATCTTTACTCACAAGGCTTCTCACCAAATAATGATATGATCATTATTTTATTTTCTTTTGAATAAAGCTTAATGAAGGTAGGTCAATCATTTTCATTCTCATGCTTCTGGTTTTGGCATGTAATTCTCTGGCCATCACTGGTCCTTTTGATCCATCTCTTGCTTTATCTCTGCTTACAACATGAGCTCTGCTCATATTAAAATATTTTCAGTGAGAAAAAAACATTTCCAGTGACCTGAAAGTGTTTGGAAATTTATGCTTTTGTGCCTGTGTTCCCAATAACAATCTATAAAACTGTAACATTCATATAATAATTATTTTCCTCTGGTGCTGGGAAATGAACACATGGCTCTGCGCACACTAGGCAAGCACTCTACTGCAAACCTACTTTACCAGCACTCTCTATAGCAATGTCATCAATATCTTTATGCTAATAGCAATATACATCTGAGTTTAAAATACATGTATTACACTTAGCTACACATTCATTTTTTATCTCTCTCAATTGCCTAAATAGTCTGCCGAGTTCCGGGAGCCCCCAGACCCAGTCCTAGCCCAGGTCCGGTGAGTGTGCGGAGAGTTTCTTGCTACCCTGCGCAGCGTGGGCC